CACAACTAAACTCAGTCCCGCCAACATATACCAAGCGAATAAGGTCATAAGTCCATTAACAATGGGGTTGAAAAATCTATGCATGCCCCAACCATCTTTGATACTTTTTCGTGGTATAAACGCTCAAGTCACTGGATAAATGTCCCCGGTGTGGGGCCAGCCGGAACAAGAACAATGACCTTTATGGTGGGGACGAACCCTCCATGGGGAAAAAGAGGAATAAGAAGGGTACAAAAAAGGTGGTACAAGAATCTCAACCCTAGAGGACACTCCATTAGGCAACAATGCAAAGCAGAGAAGAATTCCTGCCTTGGTATTGTGGTATCCGCCAAATGACCAATCGCTTGAGACGATCTTCCTAAACCCTAAAGAAGCCGCACTCATGACATGGTGAGATGATGAGCGCAAGGTGGATGATGATAAGATTGCACACCCGGCTGATTGTAGTCAGTGGCTAAGGTTTGATGAGAAGCACAAAGAATTTAGCGATGACCCATGGAATGTATGGTTTGGCTTGAGCACCGATGGAATAAATCCCTTCAATGAGAGGATGAGCGACCACAGCACATGGCCAGTGATCTTGACCATGTACAACATCCCAACATGGTTGTGTCAGAAGAGAAAGTACCTTCTCCTCACTATTCTTATTTCTGGCCCTAAACAACCAGGCATTGATATAGACGTGTTCCTCGAGCCTTTGATGCAAGAAATGGAGAGGCTATGGAGGCATGGGGAGCAGATGTACGATGCGTTCCGAAAGGAGGACTTCATATGTAGAGCAATAATATTTGTTACTACCAATGATTACCCCGCGCTGTTTGCTTTGTCTGGACAGATCAAAGGAAAGACGGGATGCTTGGTTTGCTTGGATGGTACTACATGGGTGTGCCTGGATGCATCCAAGAAGATAGTTTACCTAAGGAACCGACGCTTCTTAAAGATAAGTCACAAGTACCGCAGCAAATTGTTCTTTAGATTTTATGACAACGCCCCGGAGATTGAACCCCCTCTGGAGAGACGTCATAATGGAGAACACGTGTACAGAATGGTGAAAAACAGAGATAGAAGCACACCTCCTGTCGAAGGCATACCTTTCAAGAAACAATCGATCTTCTTTCAGTATCAGCCTTATTGGCCAGACTTGTAGGTCGCCCATGCCATTGATGCTATACACGTATAGAAGAATGTCTTTGAGAGTCTCATTGTTACCTTGATGGACATAGGCAAGTCAAAGGATGGTCTGAAAGCACGGAAACACATGGTGCAGCTAAATGTGATGCCACAACTTCACCTGGTGCCTGAGGCTAATGGAAAATACACTCTACCTGCGGCGTGCTTCAACCAAACACCAGACGAGAAGAGAGCTATATGCACTTTCCCGAGGGGGATCAAAGTCCCGACTGGGTTTTCAGCAAATGTGAAGAAGCTAGTGTCGATGAAGGACTTGTCAATAACACACTGCAAGGCTCACGATTGCCATGTGATGCTGATAGTGTTTCTACCTATTGCAATCAGGGTTATAAAGCCAGAGTTCTTGAAAATGGCCATCACCCGCATGTGCTACTTCTTTTCGAAGATTTCACAGAAGACGATTGGTAAGCAAGAGCTGAGTGACCTACATGAATTTGTGGTGGAGACACAAAACCAACTGGAGATATGTTTACCTCCTGCTTTTTTTGATATAATGCCACATCTCATGATTCACATGGTTCATCAGATACAGGCGCTGGGCCCTTGCTACTTGCATGAAATGTGGTCTTACGAGCGGTTCATGTCGGTTCTAAGTCGATACGTGCATAATCGAGCATACCCAGAGGGCTCCATGATAGAGGGTTACAGTACTGAAGAAGTCGTCGAGTGTTGTCAAGAGTACCTAAAAGTACAGAAAGGGATTGGTAAACCCGATTGTCGTCACAAGGGTAGGGTGGCTGGGAAGGGCACCCATGGTAGAAAAGTGTTCATCGACCATGATTACAAAGAGGTGAGTCGGGCGCATTACAGTGTCTTGCAGAGTACACAACTGATGCAACCGTACATTGATGAACACTTGGCTATCATTATGGCACAGAGAAATGGTCGTTCGGATGATTGGGTCATGAAACAACACAAGCAACGACTAACTACATGGTTGAAGGACCAAAACATACCGCCCGGAGAAACCATAGACTCTATTACCATCAGTAGGTTGGCGGAGGGGCCATCGAGACAAGTGACATCTTGGAATGCTTATGACATCAATGGGTATACGTACTATACCCATGCAAAGGATAGTAAATATGTGAACCAAAACAACGGCGTTCGAATAGAGGCTCTCGATGGATTGGGGTGAAAGATCCAATACTTTAGCATCATTGAAGAGATATGGGAACTTGACTATGGAAGGGATATAATGGTGGCCCTGTTTCGATGCCGCTGGATCAAACAACACCAACTAAACGAGATCGGATTGAGAGTCTTAGACCTCGAGAATCTAGGCTACCAAGATGACTCTTGGGTGCTCGCTTCACGTGTCGCACAAGTTTTCTATATGTCTGACCCACAGAGTAACCTCCCCCTGAAGAATAAGACAAAGCACGTGGTTGCCTCCGGGAAACAACACATTATTAGAGTTGATGGCATGGACGATGTTGAAGCTTACAATAACTACAATGAGATGCCGCTATTCACATACTTTCCTAAGAAGATCAGTGTTGTGGAAAATAACCTCCCCAAAGATATAATGCCATGGGAACGAAAATATGTCAAGGGAAAAGTCGTTACAGCGGGCTAGCTAGTTGTTGAACGTGGAGTGTTTGTGTAGATGTGTGTGTTTGTAAGACTTCATTTATGCATACGTGTGAGACTATATATTTATGTACGTGTGTAAGATCGCATATTTTTGTATGTGTGTGAGACTACATTTATGCATGTGTGTGAGACTACCCTCGCAACATCCAGATGACTCTATTTGAACATCCACTCTATTACTACTAAAACTTTATGAAATCACTTAACACTTTATGAAATGAAGAAATGATCAAAATAAAAGTAGGAGATTTTGACGAAGTTATACAACGTTTATATTCATCACCTTTACAAATTTGAAATCATTTAGTGTTTGAAAATCGGGTTTGAAGCTGTCATTTTCTGAAATTTAAAATTTGAATTGTTCAAAATTAGTGACAAAGATAGATGACTAGACTAAAATGACAGAGCATAATTTTAGAAAATTTTAGGAAAAAAACCATCACATTTAGAGTTAGTATGAGGGAGAAAAACTAGTTACAAGTTTCAGCCACAGATTAAAAATAGAAATCACACTAAATTTGTAACTAATCTTTCTCCCTCATACTAACTCCAAATGTGATGATTCTTTTTCCAAAAATTTTCTAAAATCTTGCCCTATCAAGTTAGTGTGTTGATTTGGGCATTCTTTTCATTTGACAAAGTTTGAGCACTTTAAAATTTCAAATTTAAAAAATGACAAGTTCGAATCAGATTCAACCATTAAATGATTTCAGCTGAAAAAAGTGATGAATACCAAAGTTGTATAACTCATCAAGTTCTACAACTTTTATTTTGATCATTTCTTCATCTGACAAAGTGATAGTAAACATTGTTCACAAATCAAAATGTTTCTCGTATAGTTCATGAAACTATGAGTCATACGTGAATTTATGAACAATGTTTACTAATACTTTATCACATGAAGAAGTGACCAAAATAAAAGTTGTAGGTAGTGATGAGTTCAACAACTTTTATGTTCACGACTTTTATTGTTGAAATCATTTAAGGTTTCAAAATCTTGTTTGAAGTTGTTATTTATTGAAATATAAAATTTCAACTATACAAATTTGGTCAAATGAAAATATGATCAAAATAAAAGTTGTACATATTGATGAGTTCTACAACTTTGGTATTCATGAGTTTTTCATCTGAAATCATTTACTCTTTCAAAATATTGTTTAAAGTTGAAATTATTTGAATTTCAAAATTTGAATCATTCAAACAAAGTCACATGATAAGATGACCAAAAGAAAAGTTGTACATGTTGATGAGTTATACAACTTTTATGTTTACAACATTTTCATTTTATTTCATTTAATGTCATAAAATTGTAGTCGAAGTTTTAAAATTCAAAATTTTAATTTTGTTTTTTTGTTTTCTATATTGTTTTGACTACAATTGTTTATATATATATTTCTTCATATATAGAATAATACAAAATATTATATTTGTGCATATACACAATTTTTTATATTACTTTGTGTTTTTATGATATAAAAATATAGAATTTATAATTTAAAAAATAGAAAATATTTGTAGGGGCGGTTGGATCAGGAACCGCCCCTACAAATCATTTGTAGGGGCGGCTGGATCAGGAACCGCCCCTAGAAATAGTCCCGAGTGTAAATACAAGGGCCCACGGGAGTCAACCTGTTAGGGCGCTGTCCTCTTCCTCCGACGCCGTCAGTTGCCCCACTTGTGCCGCCTCTCGGCCAGAGCTGTCCCCCGGCGTCGGCCCGTGCCCTCCCCCCGCACTCACGCTACTGCTCCTCCCCGCCCTAGGGTTTTCGGGACCGGCCGACGGTGCTAGTTTCCGACCGTGGAGGTGCCGCGGCGCACCCACAAGACCCCATCTCGGCACCCAGCGCCCCCTGCACCACCACGACGCCTCCCCCTCCACGCACTGCTGCTCCCGCCCTAGGGTTTCCAACGGCGGGCGGCCTCCAGACACCTCCACCGATGTCCACAAGACCTCCACCGGTGGGTGGCCTCACAAGACCTCCACCGGGCTGGGCGGCCACAAGCACCTACACCGGCGGGCGGCCTCCGAGCTGGGGTTTTCGAGCTTGAGGTGCCGCGGCTCACCCGGCCAGCGCCGCACCCGCATGCCCCATCTCCGCACCCGCACGCCCCATCCAACGGCTGGGCTAGAACCCAAGGCTTCAGTGACATTTCATAACCAAGATCAGGAGAAGCTCAACAGAAATCACTAGTCATGTATCCATTTCAGGCTATCATGATTTCAAGAACTAAAATTTTGTAGAAACTAAACGATTAATGTATATTTTCATAGCCAGACTTAGATTTACATACCATGCGTTGTTGTGCTTTGTTGCTGTTGATCGGACCACAATTACCACTGCTATCCACATTTTTCATGCCAGATTTCATTGCAGCAAATGCATTAATAGGGGTTCCCTTATGTTGTCCAAACCTATGTGCCTACAAATACAAATAGTTAATGAGCAGCATCAAAATAGACATGTTTACATTTGTATGCAAATATTAAGTCAAAGATACACATACACATAACATACCAGAACTTGTTGTGTCTCTATGAAGGGTCTAGACCCTCCATGGTTTTGAGCAATATCATCAGAACTGAAGCGACATTCCTATCCTATCTTCCATTTTGTCTTGAACTCCTCTGAGCACCAATAGTGACATAGAACCGGCCACACAACATCATTGAACTAGTCCAGCCTGACCACCTTGTATTGTTCATATTCAAGCTCAATTGTGCGGGCTAGTGTATCATCTAAACTTTCACCCCTTTTTCTGTAGTAGCCTTTACACAATCCACACGGGCTTGATACATGATGTCCCTCACCTTTTTCTTCAAATAGTTGTCAAGAACACGATCCGCCTCTGCCTGATCTTCTTCGTTAACTTGGAACAACCGCTGCATGTGTACCAAGAAATTTCAGTTAACAATATGAAATGGATATATGCTCTCTACGTTTATATGACAAAAGAAGCATGAATTGTGAAGACTCGTCAAGAAATTCAAGTTCTTATCTACAATGTATTAACAATAGAATGAAGTCCAACATAGTTGTGACACATGAAAATGAACCTAACAAAAAAACATGCCTCTTACCCAAAATTCATAGAGCACACGTTCCCCATTTGTCATGCCTTCTTTATTCACACTACCCAGAAAATAATCAGGCCAGTCTAGAGCTGGCCGCTCCCTGATCAGTACACCATCCTCATCCTTTTCTTGAAGCAAACCTAGGTACTCTCTCTTGAGAATGACACCAAGTTGAGTAGTGTATCTGTAAGGGGGCTTGCAGTTAGAAGTTGACATAACCAAATTGCTCTGTACATAAATGGCGAGATGCTTTTATAAATAACTAAAATGGAACCTAACAATATGAATTAGTTGGTAATTTACTCACGAGTCACCACTTGGATAAAGAGCCACCCGGCTAGATGGTGGAAGTGGTTTTAATTTGGTTCTAGTCCCCGGCTTCCTTCCTCATTTTTTAGGAGGCTCTACTTCGAGAGGGGCAGCAGGTCTAGTCCTTTGTGAGGATCCATTAGTAGTGGCTGTTCCTTGAGATGCACTTGTTTGGGTGGCTGTTTCTTGAGAAGCACCCATTTCAGATCCATGCCTCCTAGGAAGACGATTTTTACGTGCATGATAGATTCCATGAGCCATCTGCATAGGAACAATGAGTTAGAATATTGTATTCAATAGTATACATCAGCTAAATAGAACTAAACAAATGCATAGGAACGCTGAGTTAGAATATTGTATTCTATAACACCAAGCTGCAGCTACATAACACCAAATTCAGATTTAATATCACCAAGTTCAGATTACAGAAAATAGCCGTAGAATACAAAACTCCAAGTCCAGATTTAATATCAAAATAAGGTATAAAGGGTACATTTTATCCCAGTGATACACAATAGCATTACAGCGCTACAAATTCATGACTAAAAATTCAATAATCATCATGATCATAAGTCTCTTCCTCTGATTCATCCGTTATTGCTTCATGCTCTTCCTCTGTAGTGTTACCCTCTTCATCAATAGCTTCTTCATCATATTCCTCATCCTCAACCGTGGTTTTCTATTGTCTCCAAGTCTACCACATCAATAATCTCATCCGAGCCCAAAGATACCGAGAGAATCCAATGCTTCCCCCAAATCAATAACAAAGGTACCATCCAATCCATCCTCTTGATCGACATCATGTATTACATGTTCAGAACTCATGGACTCATCATTTGCACCATTAAGAGGTACACATCCATGAGGAGCAACTTGGTAGACAACCCACCATAGAGATAGATCCTTATCCTTACATGGGTAAGATAGATAATAAACCTGAGTAATTTGACTAGCCATCACAAATGGGTCAAAACTTTTCAACCTTATTGCATGCTTGATCTCTACTAAGCCTAAATCTTTCGTGCGCCTCAATCCATTAGGTGTTGGATCAAACCAACGACAATAAAATAAAACCAATTCTAGTTTCAAACTGCCTTCCCATTCAATTTTTATGATATCTTCTATGACACCATAATACTCAAGGGCGTTGTTGTTTTCATCATATGAAGTAACACAAACACCAAGATTGATGGTTGTTAAACCAAGTCTTCCCTCTCATATTTCTCTCGAACGGAATCTATATCCATTAACATCATAGCACCCATAGGAGGTAACTTGAGTGCAGAAACCATAAGATAAACGGCATAGAACATTGTGAATGCCAACCGATTTCATGCCCTAAAACAAAAAAACTAAGTTAAAATTCTTTAGAATTTTTATTATTCAATATAAACATATTGACAAATGGATAAGAGTATTACTTTCTGTTGGAACCAATCAAAAAATTTGGCCCAAACTGTTTTGCCACGGGCATTTTTCCAACCATTTAACCTTAAATCATGAAGTTCTTTGTTCATTGGGATCAGATTGGCTCTTCCACTCCTCTTTATCAAATTGTCTACATGTAGAAACAATACTCAACTCACATCAAAGGTTCAGGTTATTTGGGACAACACTACTCAAGTAGTTTGTATAACTTACATGAAGAAATCATCCATCTCAGGTATGTTTGTTAGTATGTACAAGAAAGCAACCTTGTGCTCCTCATTTGAGAGGCTATGGATACCCATTGGGCTGATGCATCGACGCGGGCATTTAAAAATTTCAAGGTCACATGTACCTTGAAATATAGATGAACCATCATCATATCGTGGCATCTTGTTTCTAATAGAAGGTGCACTGGATTTGAAATATAGACTAAGAAAATTTGTAGCCTCTTCAACTAGAAATGCCTCAACAATGGCAGCCTCGACACGTGCCTTATTTCTTACTTTTTTCTTAATTTTCTGGATAAACCTATGAAATAAGAGAATATGCTACAAATAAAAACTAATGGGCCTTAACTGATATGTAGATATTTTTCAGATTTACCGCTCATATGGATAACTCCAACGGGCTAGAACTGGCCCTCCCAATCGTGCCTCATAAGGTAGATGGATGATCAGATGTTGCATAACATTGAAGAATCTAGGAGGGAATATCTTCTCTAATTTGCAAAGAAGAACCGCAACATTCTGTTCTAAAGAGAGAGCAACATCTTTACTAAGTTCTTTGGCACACAATTGTCGATAGAAGTAACTAAGCTCAGCCAAAGAGCGCCATACATTATCTGGTAGAAACCCATGGAACACAACATGAAGCAATCTTTCAATAAAGATGTGGTAGTCGTGACTTTTTAGGCCAAGAATCCTCTTGTCGGCGTAGAAAGTGACCACCACGTAAATATTTGTAGTTTTGCCATACGTTGTGATCGGAGGTGGCCTAGAACTCAATGACACAGTGGTTTATCTTTGGTTCGTGCAACGCGTGCCCTATGTCCAGTTTGAGTCGGTCGGTGACTTTATTCCTAAGCCCAGGTGCTCGAAGTCTACAGTGGGGTTACAAATGAGAAGGAGAAAAATGGGGTGTACAAGAGGTCCGGTCAGAAGGGCCGTGAGCGACGGGAGCTCCTCTATGAGCTAAGTGTTCAAGCGTATGCTTGAGGTTGGAACCTGGTGGTTCTGTGGTTGTGAACTAGTGAACTTGGCTGATCTAATGAATCTGGAATGACTTGTATGACCTTGAATCCACCGAAGACAACTATCTTACATTGGAGGGGGCACATCCCCTTTTATAGATGAAGGAGATAGCTTTACAAGTGAGAGGGAGAGAGTACGTTCGCTGGTAAGTCTTGCTACCCACGCTGGCGGGTACAAGATGTTTGTAGGCGCCCACAACACTGTTGATGTTACTGTAGAATGTCAAATGCATGTGGGAGGTTATGTCGCCTTCTTCAGGTATGGCAGATGTCGGTACCTGCCATACTATTGATGCCCAGAGGCATATGAGGAGTTTTACCATGTTCGCTCGGTACGATAAAAGTCGACGCCCACAACACTGTCGATGCCCTGAGCTGGTTAGACAGCGCAACGCAACGCAATATTCAACCGGGCCGCGGGGCGACGGGCCTGGACGCAGAATAGTTTGTGCCTGTCTTAATTTCTCGATCGCTACAATGCAATATTAATTGCAAGCTAGCAACCGGGCCGGGGGACGACGGGCCTGGACGCAGAATAGTATGTGCGTGTCTTAGTTTCTCGAAGGTCGATCAGTCATCTGGAAAGGCAGAATAGTATACTACTATAGAAATTTCTATAGTATACTACTATAGAAATTCCTTGGCTGGAAACCTAGTATCATCTGGAAAGCATTCGTGGGTTAATTCGTTAGGTGTGATGAGTCCCTCCTGCAGCGGAAATTTCGTGGTTGACTACTCCATACCTGAACAGGTGATGATGTAGTCGAAATTAATGAAGTCGCGGGAAATAAGCTAATACTAGGTTTTTCACTTGTTTGCTGAGTCAACAGCACTCAGTGCAGCCAGCCAACGCGCTACAATCAAGTGGTGTGTGAATTTTCCCTCTCCATCTCTTGCTTAATCGTGAGCTGGCTCGACAACGCAACATTGATTGCAAGCTAGCAACCGAGCCGGGGGACGACGGGACAGGGGGCAGAATAGCATGTGCCTGTCTTAATTTCTCGATCGCTACAATGCAATATTAATTGCAAGCTAGCAACCGGGCCGCGGGGCGACGGGCCTGGGAGCAGAATAGTCTGTGCGTGTCTTAGTTTCTCGATGCTATATAGTTACGACCAGGTCGATCAGTCATCTGGAAAGGCAGAATAGTATGTGCTTTTGCTACAATCAACCATTTGCTAATCCAATCTCTCTTCTTTGTTTTCCTCCATCTCTTTCCTTATTTGGCATCAGCAACGGTGAGTGAGATAAAATTTTCCACTCAGTGGGTACGAATTTTTTCACTCAATGGACACGACGTCCATCACTAAAGAATATTAGCTGAAAATAGGAGTACCCATGCTGAGTATGGGGCTCGAACTCAGTGGATAGGTTCCACCACAAGTAACCTACGCTCAGTTCACGATAATTGACCTTGTCGTTTTGATTACATGAGAATTTAAATTAATCAACAGTTTCCCTGATCCGATGCTTCAGGCGAATGTTGTCAAAAGATTGCAGCAATCGCCTTGTTCGTTTGGGCTTGTTCGGCTTATAAGCCATAGCTGAAAGTACTGTTGTCTGGTTTGATGTGAGAGAAAAATACTGTTGGTTGGCTGATAAGCCATGGCTTATAAGCCAAATACGACTAAGCGAACAGGCTGAATATGTCAGGTGCTGGCAACGGATCGAACACAATCAATAACAGCCAAGCAACAAAGAGACCAGGCCACTAACAAACATGAAAAAAAAAAAGGAAGTACCGGCATACCGCGTGTAGTGGATCAAATTTGAGCAAAGCAGTTTGTATGGACTACGGCAATGGTGATGAAAAGAAGAAGAAGTACCGGTGTAGTGGGTCAAAAAAAAAAGGACGCAGAGGGCCCAGCGAGACGAACAGAAGCCAAGGAAGCGCTCGCGACGATGAACCCAGGCAACGCGCATCGTGTGTATCGTGTTCAGATGTGGCAGGACCTGATCTGTTGTTCAATTTTTTTAAATAATACTCCCTCCGTTCTAAATTATAAGTCGCTTTGACATTTTTGATATATCCATTTTGCTATACATCTAGATATAATATTATGTCTAGATACGTAGCAAAATGGATGAACCACAAAAGTCAAAGCGACTTATAATTTGGAACGGATGGAGTAGTATTTTAATGGAAAATTACAGAAATAAATGACGTTCAAAAAAATTGGAAAACTAGCAGTCTGTCGCCACCCGCCGTCATGGCCTGCGCCGGACCACCCTCCCGCTCAGAAACACCCTCGAAGCCGGGTACCCCTACTCCTCTGACGAGAAGGGGGCGGATCACCGCCTCTGAGCGGCCTGGGACGGGCCGGTGGGAGTGGATCTGCCATTCTTGGCTTGCAGCGACGGTCCTTGTGGCCGGAGCTCGCCAGAGATGAGCGGGGTCCGCCCTACCAGCCGCCCTGCATGGCTAGAGCAAGAGCCTCGGCTTGAGCACGCCATGGGAGGAGGACGCGGAGGGACAAGATGGGGGCAACACACAAGGGCGGTGGCAACATCGGGCCCCGACGGTGGTGGTTGCGCCGGGCCTTGTGCTGGCGGCCACAACCAGCCAGGCGCTGGTGCTGGCGGCCGGCAGCAGCAAGCAGCGGCGACGACCGACAGCAGCAGCAGCAGCAGCAAGCAACAGCGGCGGTGCTCGGCCGCCAGCAGCAGGAAGATGATTTTTACGTGCATGACAGATTCCATGAGCCATCTGCATAGGAACGATGAGTTAGAATATTGTATTCAATAGTATACATCAGCTAAATAGAACTGAACAAATGCATAGGAACGATGAGTTAGAATATTGTATTCTATAACACAAAGCTGCAGCTACATAACACCAAATTCAGATTTAATATCACCAAGTTCAGATTACAGAAAATAGCTGCAGAATACATAACACCAAGACTAGATTTAATATCAAAATAAGGTATAAAGGGTACATTTTATCCCAGTGATACACAATAGCATTACAGCGCTACAAATTCATGACTAAAAATTCAATCATCATCATGATCATAAGTCTCTTCCTCTGATTCATCCGTTATTGCTTCATGCTCTTCCTCTGTAGTGTTACCCTCTTCATCAATAGCTTCTTCATCATATTCCTCATCCTCAACCGTGGTTTTCTCTATTGTCTCCAAGTCTACCACATCAGTAATCTCATCTGAGCCCAAAGATACCAGAGAATCCAATGCTTCCCCCAAATCAATAACAAAGGTACCATCCAATCCATCCTCTTGATCGACATCATGTATTACATGTTCAGAACTCATGTATTTGCACCATTAAGAGGTACACATCCATGAGGAGCAACTTGGTAGACAACCCACCATGGAGATAGATCCTTATCCTTACATGGGTAAGATAGATAATAAACATGAGTAACTTGACTAGCCATCACAAATGGGTCAAAACTTTTCAAATCTCTACTAAGCCTAAATCTTCCGTGCGCCTCAATCCATTAGGTGTTGGATCAAACCAATGATAATAAAATAAAACCAATTCTAGTTTCAAACTGCCTTCCCATTCAATTTTTATGATATCTTCTATGACACCATAATACTCAAGGGCATTGTTGTTTTCATCATATGAAGTAACACAAACACCAGTATTGATGGTTGTTAAACCAAGTCTTCCCCTCTAATATTTCTCTGAACGGAATCTATATCCATTAACATCATAGCACCCATAGGAGGTAACTTGAGTGTAGAAACCATAAGATAACTGGCATAGAACATTATGAATGCTAACTGATTTCATGCCCTAAAACAAAAAAAAATCTAAGTTAAAATTCTTTAGCATTTTTTATTATTCAATATAAACATATTGACAAATGGATAAGAGTATTACTTTCTGTTTGAACCAATCAAAAAAAATTTGGCCCAAATTGTTTGCCACGGGCATTTTTCCAACCATTTAACCTTAAATCACGAAGTTGCTATTCAGTGGGATCAGATTGGCTCTTCCACTCCTCTTTATCAAATTGTCTACATGTAGAAACAATACTCAACTCACATCAAAGGTTCAGGTTATTTGGGACAACACTACTCAAGTAGTTTGTATAACTTACATGAAGAAATCATCCATCTCAGGTATGTTTGTTAGTATGTACAAGAAAGCAACCTTGTACTCATTTGAGAGGCTACGGATACCCCTTGGGCTGATGCATTGACCCAGGCATTTTAAAATTTCAAGGTCACGTGTACCTTGAAATATAGATGAACCATCATCATATCGTGGCATCTTGTTTCTAATAGAAGGTAGACTGGATTTGAAATATAGACTAAGAAAATTTGTAGCCTCTTCAACTAGAAATGCCTCAACAATGGCAGCCTCAACACATGCCTTATTTCTTACTTTCTTCTTAATTTTCTGGATAAACCTATGAAATAAGAGAACATATTACAAATAAAAAACTAATGGGCCTTAACTGATATGTAGATTTTTTTTTCTAGATTTACCTCTCATATGGATAACTCCAACGGGCTAGAACTGGCCCTCCCAATCGTGCCTCATAAGGCAGATGGATGATCAGATGTTGCATAACATTGAAGAATCTAGGAGGGAATATCTTCTCTAATTTGCAAAGAAGAACCGCAACATTCTGTTCTAAAGAGCGAGCAACATCTTTACTAAGTTCTTTGGCACACAATTGTCGATAGAAGTAACTAAGCTCAACCAAAGAGCGCCATACATTATCTGGTAGAAACCCATGGAACATAACAGGAAGCAATCTTTCAATAAAGATGTGGTAGTCGTGACTTTTTAGGCCAAGAATCCTCTTAAGTTGCAAGTCCACACCACGCCTAATGTTGGCTGCATATGCATCAGGAAACTTCAATTCTTTGAACCATTGGAGAATGATTGGCTTGTCATCTTTGTTAATGCAGCATGGAGCTCTAGGCTTGTCCCACTACCCATTGTTCTTTTGGACCAGATGGAACGAAGGTCGGTTACAAATCATAGCTAAATCTAGCCTAGCTTTCACATTATCTTTGGTCTTACTACCTATGTCAAAGCATGTGTTCCATATGGCTTCACTCACATTCTTTTCATTGTGCATCACATCAATATTATGTGGAAGAAGTAACTTAGAAAAATATGGAAGCTGCCTAAAGCAAAGTACATGTGTCCAATTGTGCAATTTACCAAAGGTGTCGTCATCTGCAAATCTGGTCACGTTGGCCTGGAGTTCCTCCACTGTCAACCTCCTAGGTGGCTCTTCCAACACCCTTGTGTTCTTACGAAATGCATTAGCTTGTTTCCTAAACACATGATCCATAGCCAAGAAGCACCTATGACAGTCAAACCAACAAGCCTTATGACCATTACGGAGTTGGAAACCTAGGCAGCCATATCCACAAGGACATGACAATCTACCATGGGTGCTCCATCCAGCGAAATCTCCATATGCCATGAAGTCATGTACAGACCAATGGTATGCTGCCTTCATTTTGAAGCTACGTTTTATGGAAGCATCGATTGTGTCAACCCCTTCCCACTATGTTTTAAATTCATCAACTAAGGGCTGCATTAGAATGTTCAAGTTTTTACCAGGATGCTTAGGGCCACGAACAACAAGGGCAAGAAATATATACTTTGGCCTTAAGAGTGTTCCAGGAGGTAGATTTAATGGCGTCACAAAGACTGGCCAGCATGAGTACGGGGCAGCATCTCTACCAAATGGTGTGAAACCATCAGTTGCTATAGCAAGCCGCACATTTCTTCTATCCCTTGCAAACTCTAGAAAGTCTTCATCAAATTGCTGCCAAGCTTCTCCATCACAAGGGTGCACCATCTTACCAGACGTTGATGGACTAGGTGCCCTCATTAGCTTGGTTGTATCCACATATGCATACAACCTTTGCAGCCTCTCTGTGATGGGTAGGTACCGCAGAACTTTGCCAAGACCCTATAGTAGTTTCCTTGATTGGTAGAAGTCATTAGGTAAATTAGAATCTAGAGGAAGAAGTTCATGTATTATGCCTATTATATCATCATATTCAGCAATTGACATGTTGTGTCATGACTTTATGGCAAGCAAGCAAGCCAGAGCATAACCTAGAGTGTGTGGTCTTCTCATGCACCAACTCACTTGCACTATCAACCATCCTATAAAAAGTTGTGGCAAATGGTGTTGGTTGCTCATCTACTATAGGTGGATTGTCCCCAGGCTAGATCAATCAGCATTTGATCCATTCGATCAACCTCATCAAAACCCTCCCCATTTGCTATGCTATCACCTTCATCATGCCCAATATGAGTCTCCCCATGCTCCGTCCATGTTTCATAGCCTTCCCTAAAACCATGCTTGCACAAGTACATCTCTATAGTATCCCTTTGAGGCTGAAATAGTTCCGGCACATGGCACAAGGACACTTGATGGTGTCATTTGTAGCTATCTCCATATTGGAAAATGCATGGTCCAAGAATTGAGTGGTTTGATTAATCCATTCACTAGAGAGGCGCTTTACCACGCTGCTAGCCACTATACATCCAAGTGCTTGTGTGACATATTAACTAGCTGTATTTGAAAGATTAAAATTAGTAGGCATCACATTGTTTTTATGTTGTAGTGTTTTAGAAAAAAACAGGACAAACACACAAAGTAACAAGCAGATCCATAGAGCACCTCAATCAAAGCACACAATATCAAATTTAACCAAGCACATCACTGTTCTACTGATTTTTTGACACATTAACTAACCACCAACAAAAATATTCATCTGTTAAGATTAAAAAAGAGTGAACTAAAGCTACATGCTTCTCCATACACTCTGTGTAACCCTCAAAACATAGTGTTGAAACCCTAGTTCATATAGGTGCATAGCAAAAACCATACACCTCTTGAGAGAGTACTTTATAACAGTTTTTTTATTAAGAAAAAACAGATAATCCAAGCTGGGTGTGGTTGGTGATAGCCACACTTCCCACCCCAACAGTAAAGCTAGCTCTATAAAAGACCAGCCCCATTACCTCAAAAATCACAGTAGCCAGATCCAGAAGTGAGCAACAGGCTCAAACACAAACTAGGAGATAGGTGATGCCCCTGGAACATAGTTTCAAGAAGAGGGTAGACAAGTGCCGCAGGGAACATGACATTATTTTCAAGCAGGTAATCATCGGCTGGTTGGTCATTTAATTAAAATCTGCTTCACTACGGTTGATTGAATAATTAATAGTACGACTTCAAGAGAACGGCAAAGAATTGAGAATAATAAATCTCCATATGTGTTTATCTGTGCAATTGCTGAAACTCTGTGTATACCTCAAACATGTTGCAGATCATATAAATTGTACATTTTACTTATTCAATAGGCCAATTAACTACAGCAAAACGAGAAAGAAACAATGCTTACCCTTTGAGGTGGAAGTAGCAAAATCTGAGTCGATGTAACAGGCTGCTCCAGCTCCTTCACTGCGGGCTACTTTGGCTCCTTTGCAGTGTTTCTCCTCCATCTAGGGCTCTGTCACGGGCTCCTTTGACTGCAGACTCGTGGTCACAAACACCTCCAGAGGCAGATCTGGGGATTAGGGTTACGGGTTTCAGCGAGTTGGTCGCGGGATTGAGGATCATGAACACAGCAGTAGTAGAGACCGAAGAAGAGGATAATACCTCAAATGTAGCGGCAGGGGTGCGAGCCGCTGCGTTGGGTCAGAACGAGGGCGTTTGGGGCGGACGGCGGCGCGAGGCCTGGTAGGATGGGCTGCGCGAGGCCTGGCACCCGAGCACCCTGGCGACGCGCGGCCAAGCGGCGCGCGCGGCCAAACGGAGTACAGGCGACGCGTGTACGAGAGAGAAGCTGGCGGCGCGGAAGGGAAGACGCGAGCTCGCGAACTGTGGAGCCGCGGCCTCACGGGGTCACAAACCCCCTCCCGATGCAAGCATGGGTATATCTCTTGGGAGTTTTTTATTTTTTATTAGCCTGAGTCACTGGGTCACGTACGAGCTGTGGGCCTCTTTTTTCCTTTTGGCGCTGGAAGCTAGAAAAGATTCCTTTTGGGTTTTCGCTTGGCGCCGGATGTTCGGACTGGTGGCAAATTTTGCCGCGTTGATTTTTTCTCATAATTTTCCTGTGTGTTAGAAAAATACCGACAGAAATAATTTGTACCCGACAGAAAATATATAATTTTTCCTGTGTGTACCAAAAATACCGACAGGGTATTTACAATTTTTCTGTCAGTGATAGAAACGGACAGGATATTTACAATTTTTCTGTCGGTTTTATAATTTTCCTGTTGTTTTTCTCTACCCGACAGGATAAAGTTAATTTTTTGTCGGTTTCGTTTCTACCAACAGAGAATGTTAACTTTCCAGTAGTGCATGACCCAGCCAAACAACCAAAGAAGGTAGGCCTCCAAGTGTCAGGTGACTCGCCACTCCTTTGAGTCCTCGTCCAGGAGCTCAGGCCTGAACTACTCAATCCATGCCTTGGTTGGCCCATGGGCGTCACTGAACTCCTACTGGGGTTGCTCGTCGTCCCCTAAAAATTGGACACTTTATTAGTATTGTTGCAAACGAACGAGCAATGCAAAACAATGTTAGGCAAACATATGTACCTGCTGGTGGTAGAACACCCAAGAAACGGTGAAGGATGTGTTGCCTCATCCGACCTCCACACCGCCAGCGTGAGACCAGCGAGACTAGAGCGCGGTCCATTGCAAACCTAGCATGCCGGTCCCCTGTGGCCTCCACCAAATTAGCTTGTGGAAGTAGACCAGCAGCCCTCAACCTGCAAATAATACAGAATTCATCAAACACAACTGACATATGAATAAACCGTGCAATGTAATTGAGAAAATACCTCGGAATCCATCGTTCGTTGAGCCTCCACAAGTGCTCAGGTGTACAGAGACCTAACGGGGAGGCAATTGTCTGTTGTCCAATTGTGATCGGCGCGTCGATCGATCACAGGATCAATAAGCTCTAGCTGTGGGTGCGCCATACCTGAAATGGTTAGAGTTACAGAATGATTACAAAATAAATCAGAATGAAGGGTATAAATGGAACGAACATAATAAGTAAGAACCAACACGTTGTCCTCACGGTACATTAATAATAATGTTACAACACATAGCCTTAACGATACATGACATGAAGTCCAGGTTCCACAAATAATAATGTTACAACACGTAGCCTTAACGATACATGACATGAAGTCCAGGTTCCACAAATAATAATGTTACAACACATAGCCTTAACGATACATGACATGAAGTCCAGGTTTCACAAATAATAATGTTACAACACATAGCCTAAACAATACATGACATGAAGTCCAGGTTTCACAAATAATAATGTTACAACACATAGCCTTAACTTCTTTTGCTCTGCTCCTTTTGCTCGATATCTTTCATGGCGGTGTCTTCAATATTAGAAAATTTCCCTTTGTACTCCTTTGTCTGTCCTGAAAACAAAGCAAGCCACAAATAGTTGAGATTTTTTAACCCGCTATTAGGCGGACCTGCCCTCGCTAATTTTTTTGTCTGAAAACTATAGTAGCTTGCAAAGGAGCACCATGTATGCCTCAGCTCAGATGATTTACACAGGGCTCCCCAAACTTTTTCTATAAGATCCTTAACATGTTTCATACTTCCTGTTCAAGTTTCATAATTTTTTGACGTCCAATTTATGCACAGTAAATGAATCTATTTAACATCAGGGTTCTTTTAGTTTCTCTGATTTCTTAACCAAGGTGTTGCCAAAAATCCAGAAACTGGACATTTGAAATGTTGCCGCCAAGGTGGCAACGCGTGGTCGGCTTGCTCCCCACGGCGACCCGTCCATTCTCTGGTTCGGAAACAGCCTTGGAGAGGTGTGCGGCAGGTTCAATGTCCAGGGCTGCTCTCCAACTGCTGGTGAGGCGAGGCGAGCGACGGCGGCGCGTGGCAGGGCCAATGGTGTCTTGGCGACGTGGGTGTGTGTGACGTCGCAGATGGTGGGCCAGGCGGTGGCTCCGACGTATGGACACAACCGGACGGTGGCGCCAGGCTGCGTGAGGGCTGGACTCTGCCCTTCCCAAAATTGGGAATGGGTTTAGGGTTCTAGGGTTGGCCCGTTAACCTCCTTCAGCACGGTTTTGGCCCAAGACCCAATAATCAAAGTTGCTAAACCCGCAATGTAGATCGAGGTTGGTTAAAATACCTAGGCCAAAAGTCATTAACTTGGGAGATAACACTTGATCAACATGAGTTTGTCCTAAGGTTTAGGATTTAAGCCTCGATTAGGGTTTCTTAAGGTATAGGATTTAAGCCACGATTAGGGTTTCTAATATTTTGGTGAATTTTAAAGGGCCAAACTTATCTCTAGTTGGATCTAAACCTCCATAGGGTTAGTGTACATGGTTTGTACCATGAAATGATGAACTAGTTCAACATCTCTTCTTAAGAATTTTAAGGGGAACACAAGGATGAAAATGATGTTGCCATCTTTTTTTTTGTTTTTGCTATTTATTTTTCCTAACCTAAACTCCACTTTTTCTTTTGTTCTCATTTTGGTAACATTTTTGGTTTACTAACTACACACATTATCTATCAAGTTCAAGTGTTTGATTTATTTTTAAAACTAAAGTTTTTATACCTCTATTTATTAACAAAAGGAAAAACCAATCATAAAATATGAATTTAAAATGCAAAGCAAGAATGAAATATGATGCTTATGTTGATGCTCATGAAATGACCCTGCTAAATACCTGGGGTGTTACAGCTGTTCCTGGCAGACGTGGATCCACGGCGACTGTCGGGTGCGCCGTGGGACATGGATGCCCCACGGCCTCCGCCGCCGGATGCACCGCCGTGGGACAAAGATTCCCCACGATCTTCGCCGGAAGCTGCGCCCTGGGGAGTGGATTCTTCGTCGGATCCCGCAACAATGGTCAGGGACATAACGTGGTCACTTCCTCCGCGCGTAGTTTTGCCTCCTCCACGGCCTCCTCTACCGCAACTTCTTTTGCTCTGCTCCTTTTGCTCGATATCTTTCATGACGGTGTCTTCAATATTAGAAAATTTCCCTTTGTACTCCTTTGTCTGTCCTGAAAACAAAGCAAGCCACAAATAGTTGAGATTTTTTTAACCCGCTATTAGGTGGACCCGGCCCTCGCTAATTTTTTGTCCGAAACTATAGTAGCTTGCAAAGGAGCACCATGTATGCCTCAGCTCAGATGATTTGCACAGGGCTCCCCATTGATGAATGTCATTCACATGTTAATTTCTTTTTGTTCTTGATGTGTGCCGTCTCTCAAGTTTTGTCCTAGGTCCGCCCCACGCTATATTCTTCCCGAAAACAAATGGTACCTTAAGTATTTCCTCGTCTCTAACAATTCCCT